GCTTTCCTTGCAGAGGGCAGGCACTGTAATACGATCAGGCAGTATGTTTCTTCATGCCAAGTCACTGAATGCTAAAGTGATTTGTCATCTTTTGCCACAGGCCACTGCCTGACACACACATGCCACAGTCTAATGTCTCGCCTGCCTTGACATCAAAGTGTCTTCCTTCTGCTATTGCCAGTTAGAAGAAAGGCAAACAATGGCAGCAAGTTATTTTCTTTCTGAGAGAGTCTTAATTAAATAAGAGGTCTCAAATAGCTTAATGGGACTAAGGCAGGAGGAAAAAACCCTTTGTCATAATACATATTAAATCTATAAATCTTGCTTACTCTCTCCCTCTGCAATTTTTTTATTTACGTCACAGTAACATTCTTTCATTGTCTGTAGAGATTTATAGCAACATTATATGACATCTCCTGGGTTTTCACAGTCTGTCACCTTTTACAGCTCCCTCTTAATGCCATGGGTCATAAAAGATAGAGTTCATCTTATTTTACAAAGGGGAAGGAGGGAAGTCCTGTGCAGATCCTCCAGTCACAGAAAGGCTTTCGCATGCTGAAATCTACCATCATGAGTAGGTTCATTGAGTCTTTTGGTAACAGTAACTGCCTGTTTTGAGGGATGGATGATTTCTGCAGCATACCCCAGAGTCCTGATTTCCCAATTCAAATCAGCAATACAGCAAAGGTGTGCTCCAGGGTGGCATCAAGGTGCAGCTGGGGCACATTCCCAAGTTTGGTGGGGTTGTCTCTGGTCTTCTGATTTAGATGTAGTCACTGCTGCTCACTGATGTGTCTTTACAGGGCTGGCTCAAAGAGATCACTTTTTTCAAGAGAAGTATCAGAGAAAAATGCTCCTTTCTTGTTCATGCCATTTTCAGGATGGGAAATAAAATGTAGAAACCTGAAAGTGCCAGCCAAATCATTGCAAGATTTCTTCATTCAAATTAAAGGGGTCCTTCCGATGGCAAGTGGCGTTATAATTATAGACTAGAAAAGAGCAAGATCAGCAGCTGCTGCTGCTGCTGCTGCTTGTGTTTGTTCCCTCTGTAACTGACAGGACAGAGTACTTGGCAAAAACAGACTTCCAGAAGTGGAAAGACATTTTAACCCCTGTTCTTGTCAGTCCACTTCTCCTGGGGCTCGACAGCAGCAACCCCTTGCTTCAGGTTAAGGGAAGAGCAAGGTGACTATTGCAGACTTGAAGGGGACTTTGTTTGGGACGTCTGAGAAAAAGGAAGGGTCCAGATTTGCCTTTGGGCTTGGATTGCCGAATGAAAATAGCAGGTCAGTGGATACAGCGTGAGCTTATATGCTTTTATGTTTGGTTTAACTTGTATCTCTCTCGCTCACTTTCTCTGCTATGCCATAAACCAAGAAATAAGGCGATACAATGACAAGGGACAGGTCTGTGCAAAGGCACTATTTATTTATACACTCTGTAATGTGCTTTTCATGGTCAGTTAGGAAGCACTGGTGGCTGTTATTTTTTACTGTGGTTTCTTTCTCAATCCTAATGCATCCTGAAAATTCTCAGCCAGGCAAAAATCCCATTTACAATTGGGCTCAATAATGGAGGGAGGGGGAATATTTTATTTTTAGGTGTTTATTCTTAAAGGTTTCTGATAATCTTAGGAAAAGTGCAGTGATATATAATTCAAATTTCAGCCTGTGCTTGAGAAAGTTTCAGAGAGGGAGCAAACACTGAGCAAAATAGCAGTGTCATAGATACGAGCCAAAGTCTCTGCAGGCATACAACAGGCATAACTTTTGTTATGTCCTCAAAACTCTCAAATCCATACCAGCAGAAAGCCTAACTGTATATTTGCTAATGAAGTTAAGGGCAACATAACTAACAGGAAGGTTTTTCACGACACCGGTGCCTGTGGTATCTAATCTAACTCTCTCTGTCTTTCTGCGGCCCTGGCCAAAACAGCGCTCAGGCAGGAATGTGCTGGGGGGCATCGTTAGGCTTTGCTCTTCCTGTTCTTCTCAGTTTTAGGTTTTTAATTTCCTGTGACCATGAGTAATGTTGGAAGGCCTCTCAGTCAACACACTGCCGGCGAACCAAGGGCTTGGGACCACCATGCAAGAAATAGCCCCAGTGCAAGGCTTTATGCTAAAACTTCCCAGCGGGAGTCGGGGGAAATGGCTGTGCCTAAATAGTTGTAGTTAGCCCTAAAGAAAAAAAAAAAAGTGCAGGTTTAAATCTATGCTTGCTATGACGTGAAATCTAATCAGAGAGACACATAGCTGGCTTTCATAGCTTCATTTAGTTTAAAGGGTTCTTAGATCACCTAATCTGACCTAATGTATATTTTGGGACATTACATTATATTGCCCTGAAGTCCCTATATGAACCCAATTACAAATGTTCAGTAAAGCATTTGCTTAGCAGGAAGATAAATCACAGTGCATCACAGGCAAGGCAGGGCAAGGACATCAAGGCACCAAAGCCTGAAATTGCTGTAACAGTCCCACTTTTATTTGCCCTATTTCAGAGGCAGAAAGAAAAAGCTGCAGGCGTCCAGTGCCTCCCAAACTAATGGTGAAGAGTTTCTCTTCAGAGCCAAGGGCATCAAGTAAAGTGCTAAGAAAGATGGCTGGAATTTGATTAAGTGAAATATAGATGGATCAAGCAGGTAAACTGCCCTTTGTGGAGAAAACTCTCCTATCCCACTCTAATATGGGGTCAGATATTCCTAATCCCGAGTCCTATCATTACAGCACTGCGGCCAAAGCCCATCCACTAGGCCTTGCAAGACAGGATTTGCTGCAACTCCATAGCGGGGGTGAACCCATTCAGCTACTGGGCAGTTTCTGGCACTGATGCCTTCCTGAACCTCATGTGCAGAAACTGAGAGCCGTGGATTTGACACTAATCACTTCCTTCCTGCAGAGCTGCAGGTGCCCTGAGGGTGCTCCAGGCAATCTTGTTCCCTCCATGGCCCAGCACAAAAAGGACAGAACAGAATGTTTCAGAGATGCCCTGATATCAGGCAACACCAGCAGAGCCACTCAGCCCCAACCCTGTATGTCCCAGCTATTTGAGTTCTTCCTGAAGGTCATCTTTTATCAACCTATCATCTCTCACCTTAAAGATCGTAAACCACAGGGTGTCTATCCAGTCCCCTGTTCTGTTATTTGGTTGCCTCCACAGTTAACAATTCTTGTTTTACTTCAGACTGCATCTGTTCATCTACTAATCGTTGCACCATGTTACGCTGAGGGTCTGGGTTCCTGCCAGGCTGTAAGCCCTCACATTATCAGACATCTTTTCTAGATTTAAGTCCTCATACACAGGCAGTCCCACTGGGGGTTTGCATTGTAAATTGAATATAAGTGGGAAGACACTTCTTAATTATATGGCTTGAACACACATACTTCCTGGTATTAGTGGGCGAGGACTACAGCAATCCCAGGAAAGGCAGCGTAATGTGACGAGTATTTTTTTTACTCCCTTCCACCCCTATAGCCTAGCCACAGGCTTCTCCGCTTGTTTATAAAGCCCCATATCTGATGGAGAATGAAAATCTCTGTTTGCATTTTCTTCTGTGTTGTATCCTGACCACAGATTTTTAGCAGACAGGATTGCATTTCTGCATGCCAGTCAGACAGTTTGGCTCCTGACTTGAACTTTTTGGAGTTCAATAACGAAAACAAAAAATTTAAAGGCCTGTGACAAATCTCAGGAACAGGAAATCTATCATTTGGATGCTAAACAATAAAACCCATATATCTCAAAAAAAAAAAGGAAAAAATAATAAAAAATCTCTGAGCCCATGCTGGCAAACCTTGAGCAGTCATTCTGCAGATGAGAAGAGACAGTCTGTCAGCAATAAAAGTCTTACTATGCCTTTTCCCTGCGGACTCCCCTGGTGACTAAAAGCAAAAGTGGCACTTTAACAGCTGAATTTTAATGGCTTGCTTTATGCTCAGCATCAGAGACACAGCCAAGTTGCATAAAATACTATCAAGCCATCTATTAACTATGGGGTCAGGCTTTTTTTCTGAGGGTAAATGATCTACAGTGGCATCAACAAAATATAGACGGGAATCATATTTATGATACACAATAACAGTTTTGAGGCTTTGTGCTTGCTTTGTTTCTTGCATGTTGTACAAAACTGCTTTTATCAACATTTGGAGTTAGTTGCTTTTTTTTTTTGTAAGCCCATAGAAGTTCAGGTAGCATCTCCCTACACTGGGTAAGCAAGTAGCAAACCCGGCATAAAATATTTACCTATGTACTTTTAGTACTGCTTTAATTACACTGTGTCACAGGCTGCCCACTTGAGCAACCTTACAGCTTTTTTTGCATGGCCATGCAATGCTGAGGTACTGATGACTGTGTCTAGCTGCCAAGCCGAGAAATAACAGGGTTCCCCAGCTGATCTCAGCTGCTGTCGTAACCGTTAATGAAAGAGGCAGTCTCCAAGTCTCATTTGCTTTTAGATGAGTATAATTACCAAAGCCAGCTAAAAATACTGGCTAGGGAGGAAGGTGCATTTGTGGGATTTAGCTCTACTTCTCTTGCTGGAGCACTGACAAACTTTCAAAAGAAAAAAAAAAAAGAAATCAAGGAAATTCACTTCCTTTGCTTTGCGCGCACCAGACTGGAGCAAACTGAGAGTAAACAAAGGCTTCAGAGATGTAAGGTATCCCTGCTGCTGCCACCCAAGCAGGTGGCCACGCTCAGGGTTAGCTGTTGCTTTTGGGTGGTCTTTGAGGTAGAGCCCAAATCAGCCTTGCATCAGTCAATCTGCAAGTCTCAATGGGCCTTGTCACAACAAGATTTTTATCTCTCTTTCTCTTTCTATACATATGTAAATACACACAACATATATTTATGTATACATCTATTATTATATGCATATATGTGCATGTATATTGGCCTGCCTGTCTATGCACAAGGGTGCATTCAGATTAGGATGCGCTGTCTAAAATGTTGTTCGTTTCCTGCTTCTCTTCTGCTGTTTCTAGGCACAGCCTGCCAAGACGATGACAGTCACTTATTCCAGCAAAGTAGCAAATGCCACTTTCTTTGGATTTCACAGATTACTCCTAAAGTGGAAAGGCAGCATCTACAAATTGCTGTACAGAGAATTTATTGTTTTTGCTACTCTTTACACAGCGATAAGTGTATTATACAGGTATACTCTTTCCAATTCACATCTCATTAAATGTTATACTGAAGTTTCACACTTCACAGTGTTAGGCTGATGAGTGGTGGTTGGGGGGGAGTTACTACATAATTATTGTCTTTTCCTTGGACCTTTCCTAATGTCCTTTCCTTTTCTTTCCACATTTATTTTAATGTTCCAGAGAAAGCATGTAGGATATAAATAAAATGTTGTCTACCATATTCAGCTGATTCTACTTTCAGCCCAGGTTTGAGCCAGGTTATACAGTCAAGAAAAGCAAAGTTTTGCTTAAAGCTAGGATGGCATGGCAAACTTTATTTTTAAGCTCACAGAAAGCCAAGCAAAACTGCATGGAAACCAGACATAGTTATTATCTGTGTGTCACCTAGTACCTGGGAGGGTCATGTTAAAGCAGAGTTGATTCTTCCACCAAGGTGTAAATTAAACACCTGTGTAACAGATGCAATGCATCAATTAGTACAGTGAAAATTTTAATTGATGAGGTACACCACACAGAAGTATCAAAATCATGATTCAGCTCCGACCTTGATCTGTAATTAGACTTCAGTGTTTGCTTTTTATGTGAAGCCAGGGGAAAATGAGCTTCAGTTTGTCTGTGATTAATCACTAATTTTTCAAAATGTTCAGTAATCTATACCTGTAAACTCAGAAAGAAGATTACGGCATTAATACATAAAGAAACACCAGAGTCACACATTTATTTAAATTAATCTAATTTTACTGAAATGTTAGGCAATTAAATGCCATGGTAAATACACCATGGAAAGCCTTCTATCTGTGCTGCAGGTTTTATTGTATAACTGTAAGCAAAAAAACACCAAATATTTGTCATGTGTTCCTTTTATATAAAATTGAAGAATAACTGTAATACTCATCTACGCAAATAAAGCAACTGTTTGTAGTTAAGCTTGTTGTATTTAATTTGATATCTTTCTCAAAGCGCAGAAGCCACCATGCTCTACTCACTTTCTATCATTTGGTGAATGTCTTCCTCACTGCAAAATAAATACGGTTGTTGTGGTTTAAATCTTGTGGAAAAGAAAAATTTTGTAGGAGTAAAAAAACTACTGCAGCACTGTAACATTTTCACATAAGAGCAGTTGAGGATTGGTAACATTTTGAAATTCAAGCAGCCCTCTGAAAAAGGAGAGCAAGCTCTACTTGCAGACTTACGATTTACTGTCCTCTTTGGTTTGTATGAGGCAGAAATCTAATTCTCCACGTGTGTTGATCCTAATTAGGAGTGCCAGTCAAATCAGTCATGAGAAAACTGCAGAGACCAGGGAATAACATTGACTTCTTCTCTAGCTTCTTTGTAACACGCAAAAAGTGTTCAGCACTTTACCTTTAAGAATTTGCTTGAAGACATTAGCCAGAGTTGCTCCTGATTGCACATGCCTGATTATTTATACCTGTTTGCACTCTGTAGCTTGTGCCAGAATATTATAAAAGGAGAGATATATTTTATTTTTGCTGCAGATTTTTTCTTACAGGTAGCCAAAAAAGATTCTTTGAAAAATTATCTATTTACTGTGACAGATATGCTGAACAAATCCCGGTAACTTTTGTGCTTGGTAAGTATCAGTTACATGTAAAATTATTCTCCAGTGTTGTCTCTGTTCAGGCATTTTGTGAATGCCCATGCATGGAAGCATTTCAGAGTATTTCAGAGCATGGGAGGTTACAGGCTCACAGAAAAAAATCATCAGCTTCCAATACATGCCCTTAAATCTAAGCTGCTTTTGTCATTTATGCTCATGTTATTAATATATGAAAAAAAGAGTAAAGTTCCCATATATATATATAGTGCCCACTAACACTGATACATTGTGCCTGATCTTTCAAAGAACCAAATCCACTCAAGGTTTACTACAGAAGAGGAAATCTAGAAGTTCATGAGTATGAGACACTCAGCTGGAATGGGCCATTAAGTTGCAGTGCCTATTAAATAATTAGCATTGATTGCATCCTGGGTTTTGATGTGACTTACTGCATTTATTCTGGGAAATGTAGCAGCTTAGTGATATGAATAACAATCTGCAAATTAAATGAAAGCAACCTGAATAGAAATCCTTATAGGCACTGGATGATTTATTTTTTTTTCCCTTCTAACCCCCCAGGTTTCTACGTTACTTTGGTGGTGAATCGCTGGTGGAACCAGTTTGTGAACCTGCCGTGGCCAGATCGTCTGATGTTCCTCATCTCTAGCTGTGTCCAGGGCAGAGATGAATATGGGCGCTTGTTAAGGAGGACTCTTATGCGTTACGTGAATTTAACATCTCTGCTGATATTTCGCTCTGTGAGCACAGCCGTGTACAAAAGGTTCCCCACCATGGACCACGTGGTAGGAGCAGGTACTGCCAAGTCCTTCTTCCCAAAATGTCTTTCCATTCCATGCGAGGTGGGAGTACAGGGAAGGAAGGAGCCAGACTTACTTTTTCTTTCCTCTTTGGCCCCACACATGCCTCATATTAACCCATGTCAAAGCTAACATGTTCTTGTCAGTGGCTCAAATGACGTGCCCTCAGATGTGCACCTTTTATGCTCTTAAAGTCTTCATCTAGCAACACAATAGAAACCAAATGAGTTTGAGGCTCTTACATGGATCTGCTTTCAGACATCACGGAAGCAATAGGCCTGCCCCAAACACGCAGGCGTATGGAGCAAATGCGACATTCACCAAAGCATGAAAAATAATGTAGTTGCGCTGCAGTATGATGCAGTGGTAATGGTGACTTGTCTCGATGCCTAGGACATAACGTTGTCCTAAGTATCAGAGACTGGTCTCTGCAGGCACTTCACAAGCACAGCTTTATCTCAGTTATTTGTGAGGAGATTGCATAGGTCATAGATTCATTGCAACACATTTTAAAAACTCAACCCTAACAGTATTTTCTTTAAATTTACAACAACTAGCTTTTCAGGGTTAAATATACTAAGCGTTTTTTTATTTTCTGTTTGTTCTGATAACACAGTGAGTGTTAAAATACGTGAGCAAGTTAAAATATGTGGTGTGTATATACATATACACATTTCAAATATGTCCAAGAAGCTTTGGATATTAAAAAAGTAATAAAATAATATCTAGGCAAAATATAGAATGCACTGACCTTACCGAAAAAAAAAAAATTATGTTGAATTCAGTTGACTTTGAAGTTCTCTTCCTTGTGCTGTTCAACAAAAGTGTTTACCTGAGTCTGTGAGAGGTCAAGGAAGCTTCTGTCACTCTCCCCAGCAATCTGCTTCTAGTACACACTGGAAAATTACAACATTTCCAGCAAGCTAATCCAGCTCTGCCTCCCTGTTGCTGAAGACAATCTGTTCCAAAAGAGACAAAATGTTGCAGTGTTGTACAAAAATTGTAGACTGGAAAACAAGTTTTGGTTTGGTTTGGTTTGGTTTTTTAAAGTGGAAAATATTCTACTATAAACTGTATAACTAAGTATTGATAATGTAATCAGCTCTGTGGATTGCAGTACTTACTCTGTAGGTTTTACCACATACTGTGCCACATAATTTTTTTGAGGCAATGCTGAGCAGTTGAGGATGTATTTTGCTCCTATTAGCATCCAGTAATTAGGACAGTACTCGGCAATTATCCCCTCCCTAGCTCCTTATGGCATTACATATCAGACTGCATGGGAGTGCAACATTTAATATGAATGTGAGCAGCAGAATCTAATACTTAGAGCACAGCCATCATCGAAACAACTTGTGCCGATCCTGCCTTTCCCTATCAAACTGAGAGCTGCCACGGCATAACTATTACCACACATCTCCTTTTTCAGCAAATGAACTGCTTAAATTCACAGATTTCAAATCTGAGAACAGTATCATGATAATCTAGTCTGACTCATCCATAACACAAGGCATAAAAGCTTACTCACGGCATCTTCTATCATGGTGCATCCTTCTAGGAATATAACCAGCCCTGATTTAAAATTCAGCTGGGTAGAATGTCTGAATATGCACAGAATCATCTTCTAGTCACTGGATTTTGTAATGGGTTTTGCTTATTCTTCTCTTAGGTAGATGAAAGCACCATTTTCTCTCAATAGTTACCTGTTAGCAGAGTGCATAAAGACTTGAATAAAGTTAGGTGCTTCATCTTCTGTAATATCTCCTTCCAAGGGAAGGTCTTCAGTGCTGGATCTTCCTCCTAAGTCTTTCTGGAGCTGTAGGCAGTAGATTCATGACGCTGTGAGGATGAGTGCTGCGGCACGTATGCTCTAAGCACCAAATGCCTCGCAGCATTCCTGAGCGTACCAATCCTGTTGGCTGCAAGGTACAAGAGGCAAGCTGGGTGCTCAAGAGTGTGAGTCTTAAAAAACATGATCAATGAATCAGCAGCTGGGCAGAGAGCAGCCCGATCCAGCTGATAGGAAATGCTGAAGAGAAACACAAAGTGTGAGACCAACTACATGAATACCTATGGACAGCTGAAGTTTGCAGTCCCAAACCCTCTACTTGAATGAAGTACTGGAGTTAATTCTTTCCTGCATAACACAGAAGCAGCAAGTGAAACTTTGAGCTACTTGATCATTGTTAGTGCACTGTGGAGGTGTGGGAGGTAACTGCTGTTCAGTTCCATCTTCTCTAACCACAAGGCTTCAGAGTACGTGATGTGGATACCCTGAACCAGTCTTGTCTCCAACCCTTCAGTTTTGACAGGAGAACTAAATACTCCAAATCACTTGAGGAAGTGCATCGGTGACTTTTTCCAGCCGGGCTTGTGTTTTCATCAATAATTTTCCCATAAGATCACATTGGCTGATACTGTCCACGTTAGCGTCCTTAGATTTTTTTTGGTTGCATCTCACATCAAGTTTCTCATACTTTCACAAGGATTCAGTGCCCTGTCGTTTCTTAGATCACCTTTTTCAGGATCTTTGCACAGTATTCCCGTTTGGTCCCCATGTGTTACCTGATCTAGTCGAGAGGTGGCGTCCCTGGCGGCAGGGAGGCTGGATTAAAATGATCTCTAAGGTCCCTTCCAGCCTAGGCCATTCTATGATTCTATGATTCTATTTGCCAAATGCTTCCATCTTTCTGGGCCTGCTCCAGTCTTCCAGTGCTTGTCAGAACCACTGTTCTCATTTAGAGAGTTCCTCAGTTAGTTCTTTGAATACTCTTGAGTAAAAATAGTATGACCATACTCAGAAAACATTTCATTTAATCACTAAGCTTTGATATCCTCCCCTGTATTTAATGCAATATAAAGTGTTTCTTTACCACTGCAACAACAGCAAGAGATTCCGAATTACATATTGTTGCCATAACCCTCACCAGCAGTAAGAGCAATCCAGACTTGTATAATCTTTTCTGTGACAAGAATATTAGCTATTATTAATATCCATCAAGGAGAATGTTTTATTAATATAACACTTCAGCTTTAAAAGTAATGATGATTTGAATGTTATTGTTAAAAGAACAAGACTTTATCGAGCTTTTCTGAACAAAAAAGTACCCAGTTTGGGTGGAGAGCTGAGCTTTGCTGTTCCTTGCGACCCTCCCCCATGCTGTGTCCTTCCAGATAATGACTTTGCAGAGTCTCTCAAGTGACTTGCATCCAGTGTCTACTCCAGACGTCAATTTTCTGATATTCAGTCTGTCTGTTTCAGCCTGACAGAAACATCTTTTCCTGCCCCATAATGAGCAGGCTGGCCAGCCAAAAATCAAAGGCAGCTTGAAACACTGACATTTAGGAGTCAGGAGTTATGACTAGCAGGTCAATTTTTCTGGTTGCCTTATTATTTCCAAACAGATGACTATGAGAGCTGGCTGCAAACTGCCCAGGGTCCTTTTAAAAGCTATATCTTATTCTCCTCTTCCACAGAATTTTCTGTCTTGTCCTTCTGTTCCTTCTGGGTAGCTGTAGTATCTCATACCTCCTGTGTTGACTTGTTGCAACTATGCGACAGTCGCATTTTCCTCAGCAAAAGGATATTTAAGAAGGTCAACAAATCTCCTTTTACCTTGTTCACATTTTCATACAAAACACAACTGAGTTTGTGTATATTTATTTTTTTGCTGCTTCACGTGTCTTTAGCAACATTAGCAACAGTAAGCCAATTCTTAGTTACTAGTTGGAGGCTAGAAAAATAAATCCTGTCTACTCTCAATTCCCTTATTGAATTTTCAGCACTCAAACTTGTAATTTATTAGCTGAGCCACTTATTTGGGGGCTGCTATGTTACCAGCTTTGTTCTGTTTTGAGGCTAATGTCAACACAACAAAAGAAGCCTTATACCTTCTCTGGTAGGTGACACACATCCAAGCGTCATCTTCCAAACCTCAAGATTGCTCCAATCCCAGAAAATCCAGGATTTGGACAACGTGAGATGTGAAGTTCCCCCTCATGAATTTTCTGAGCTTGTTTTTCTCAAAGGCTGGGTGGAAGGAGGATAGCAGAGCAGAGCTTTCTTACCCAAGGAGGTAGAGGCACCACGCCAAAAACCAACTGCTCCCATGCCAGTCCCAGGCAGCGAGCTGCTCTGGTGCATGTTTTGTGTCCTAGCTTCCCTGCGAGCTGACCTCAGACTTGTTTGCAGCAGGGGGAAGCGAGGCTTCACAGGGCCAGGGGAACTCTGCGGGAGAGGTGACACCTTCCCACTGCCCCAGCGAGGCAAATTGCCAGGCAGGGAGCAGCTCCAGCCTGCCGCCCCGGAGCAGGGCACCTGGCCCGCTAGCAGCGGGGTTTCTGTGCACAGTTCCTTTGTGCATCTCTTCGCACGCCTTCGTAACCCCAAAGAAAACATGAAACACAATCTGGCAGGGAAGTATTTTGCTGGCAGAAGGCACGCTCTCTGTTGAGCTCTGTTTCACGCGTGCACTTGGATCCTCTGTTGCTTGCTCACTGCCTTGCATTCTTACCAAAAATTATCAGAATTGGAAGTTCACGTAACCACCCTTACAACATACGTTGAGAGGATGCCAAAAGCCATCATTGCTGAAAAGAGATCGTTTCCTGAATGGTATATCCAGATCCTTATTTTTCCAAAAGTAGAATATGAAACTAGAGAGTAATCTGTACAATTCTTAGTATTATTTGAATCTACAATCTGTCAGCAGTCAGATATGAGAACACCATAACAGCAAATTACTGCTTGTGTTGATCAAAAGGGATTTTGCATAGGTAGTTATTGCCAAAAAAAAATTGTTTCCATCAAGGTCCTTCCTGGCAAAAAAAAGCTAAAAAAAAAAAAAGCAGGAGGCTACTAGTTAGAATTACAAATAGCGTTTTGCATAGTTCTATGCAAATATCACATAAACAGATTCAAACACATTCAAAATTTTTAAGTAGCACTAACAGCACAGAATAAATGAAGTCTTTATTTCTTGTTTTTCTTTGGTAAACAGGTTTTATGACAAGATACGAAAGAAAAATTTTTGATGACCTTAAGTCTCCCCACCTGAAATACTGGGTTCCCTTTGTTTGGTTTGGAAATTTGGCATCAAAGGCCCGAAAAGAGGGAAGGATTCGAGACAGCGTAGATCTGCAGACACTGATGAACGTGAGTAGGAAAAGTAAATCTACAGAAATCTAATCCGAAATTGCTATGTGGTAGTTTTTCACTTACATGCTTTGATTTAGTGCACACAGCTCTCCAGTGTCATCTAAATTATCTTACCCAGAATTTATGCCACTTTGTGTAGTGATGTACACTCAAGCACACACAGCAGCAGTTTGCTGGGATTGTATTTGTATGACGAAGAAGGTATTAACTGAAACAACAAATTGATGAGTAAAAAATGATTGTAACATCACTGTAAATTCTGGCTTGTTCCATTGCTGCAGGGGAAAAAAAAATGAGAATAATTTGACATTTTGAAGACTTTAATATCAGCTTCAGAGAGTATAATCTCCCTCAATATTTCATTAAGTGGTCAAACATTCTTTTCATGATATAATATATTCTCTTTCATGTATAGCTAGACTGTGAATAAGATGGAAACAAATGATAATTTCTGAAGAAATGCGTAATATACTAAGCATTCCAACTCCATAAACTAAGTGAATATTCAAATGTGACAATGGGGTGCCACATATAGTTATGGTATCAATTTATATATACTACACTTTCATATTTTGCTGTCCCTTTATATGTGCAAAAATGAACCGTAACAAAATATTTATAATTTAGAATTGAACACTGTGCAGTTCTAGTTTGTTCGGATTTGTTTTTTCTTTTTCTTTTTTTTTTTCTTTTTAGGAGATGAATAAGTACCGGTCTTGGTGTAGTCTTTTGTTTGGTTATGACTGGGTTGGAATTCCACTTGTTTATACCCAGGTACTGAGCTATTATTCTCCACAAAAATCCGAAACACAATTTCATAAAAGGGGAGCTTCATTAAAAAAAATCTACACGCTTGACCAGAGTGTCCAAGCTGTGAGCTCGATTCCCATGGCATCACAGAGGCCTGGCTAACTGCTTAAGTTACATTTAATGTGGAGATATTCTGAAGGCCTTGCATAATCTGGGACAGGGAAAGAAGCACTGAAATGTTTTTATGAGTCCTGGGTCTTCTTCCTGGTGGTAATAATTCCTGAGACCTCTCTATTTTAATACATCCCTACAGATTTGCAAATTGTGTGGCAAAACGCAGTCAGAGGTCTTTAGGTATGTGTTGCTTCTGCGTATGGTTGCATTATTGCACGATTTCAATGAAATTTTTTTCTTTGCAGGTTGTTACTCTTGCAGTCTATACTTTTTTCTTTGCCTGCCTGATAGGGCGCCAATTTTTGGATACTGACCAAGGGTACCAGGGACATGACTTGGATATTTACATTCCAATCTTCACACTGTTGCAGTTCTTCTTCTATGCAGGATGGCTCAAGGTAAATTAGCTTTCTGGAAAGGTCGTGGGGGAACCCTTCCTAGGGCAGCTGATGAAGGTGTCAGAGATGAAGTCAAGACATCAGATTTGTGGCACACTGTAAAATCACTGAAGATTAATGGAGTTACACCAGAGCTGAATTCAGCCCACAGTGTCCCGTGGTCATAAAGAAACATCACGCAATACTTTTTTTAATCCCACCTGACAGATCTTAGAGTAAGAAACAGCTGGGAACCTGAAAGAGCCCATTTTAGTAGGACAAGTGCGGCCACAACTCTCCCAGAGATTATTACTTCAGCCAAATCAGTTCCCAGGACTTCAACTGTAAAATGACAGATGAAAGATTAACAAAAAAACCTACCTTTCTCCCACTCCACTCTGCAATGGGAAATACTTCTGCAGACCTGGTGTAGGCTGAAAGGTACTGAATCAAGCTTTCTTCTTATGATCAAAGCCAGCCTTTAATATCTGCTCTTAACCTAATCAGATGCAGGCAATTAAAGGTCTCCCGTTCCAGGGGGCTATCAAATAGTGACAGATAATATTGGCTACAACCCCAACGCATAAAAATGTTCATTAAAAAGAAGAGTTATAGAAGGAATTAGATGATACCCATCAGACCATTGATGCCTGCCCAGCTAACATATCGCCATCAATCTGATAGTTGAGTAATTAACCCACGTACCTCGTGGTGATTCTCTCATCTGCAGTATCAGTGTAGACTAACTGGAAAAAAGTTTCAAATAAAAAGAAAATTGGTACATTAGGATCTATGCGCATTAAGATTTCCTCTGGGGATTATTAATCATGGCTGGAAACTTAGAGCTAATAAATTGCACAAAATTGACCATTTTTAGAGCACTCTTCCCACAGCCAACTCCAAAGGGCAGAGAAGAGGAGATAGCTCACCAAGCTGGAGGATTGCAAAGGAAAGTAAAGAGCCTGTCAGGCAAGCTTCTCTAGTTCTGTGTCCTCGGAAATTTGGGGGGAAAAGGGGCTTGCAGCATAGGAACCAGCCTGGAGATGAGCAGGAGAGGGAGGAAGGGAGGCTGATGCAGCAGGGGAAGCACTTTGCTTCTGCAGGAATGTGAGGATTTATCTCTAGGCAATGTCTTCCTGGGCTTTACTAGTGTGTTACAAAACTGTAATCTGTTCCTCTTGACCCCCGTGCTGGTGTTCCTGAGGTGAGAATGGCTTCTCCTTCATCAGTACCCAAGGCTGTTAGCAGCATGTCTTCCAGTTAAGCTCAGGGCTTCCAGCCAGCTCCTGGCTACGGCAGGTATGAGATGCCATTTTAAATGATAAGATTTCTGCATAAGGAAATGAAAGGGAGAAGGAGCTTTAAAAAGCAAATTTAATGCCGGCAATGCTCCCTCAGACTGGAGGTTTGTCCAAACCTGCAGTGCCCTCAAGTCAGGCAATGTAACCTTCAACAGCCAGTTTAAAATTAGGCTTTTGCTGCCAGGCTGCAGAAAGGGCCCTGAGATATTGACTTCCAGTAACTTGGCAATTCCTCAAAAACGATGGCTAAACTGAGCTCATTCCTTGGCCTCAGGCCTGGTTTATTATACCTACAATACAAGGGCAAAGTTTCCCATCACGTGAGATACTTCTAAATCACCATTTTCGTTACGGAGATAGATGGACCGTCCAAACAAAGGCCTGAGTTGTCCAGCACTAAATTCCTTTCCAGAGAGTAAAGTCATGTCTCACATGCCAGGACTAGGTCAGTCAAGCAAAAGGCTACTGCTGTTCTGTCCCAGCCCTGCTTACTTTTTTTAGCTCATGTGATAAGTTTTGCAGTGGATTTTTGGGCAGTGATCCCCCCATTTACAACGCAGTCTGTGCTCTGGCTCATTCTTATTGCAGTACTTCCACAGCCATACACAAAATTCAATGCCACAGACCAGGCCAATGAGTGTGAGGAGAGTTGTCACCCATCTCCTTTTCATTCCTCCTGCCTTATGAGGTTTTTCATCATGTTAGTCTGCTCAGCAGTTCTTTTCTTGTCCTCCTCTAATGGCCTGAAAAGTGATAGCCTAGAAGAGTCAGCCAGTGCTTACACACTGGCATAGCCTAAAGCCACATAGGAGCAAATAGCCAGGGAGTGTCTGCCTTACTGGTATAAGTTATTTAGATCATAGTCATCCACAGTGAGGTTCATGAGCAGTGCTGTTTAATCATACACTTGCCTCACCCATACTCATGTTAAACCAAAGACCTGGCCAGAGCTCCTGTGCATGACCCTAGTGACCACCAGGAAGGCTTGGGAGGGTCAGAAAGAATGTGATTGACTTCAAAACTGAGGCTTAAAAAGATACACAGAAGAGGAAAGCATGAAGATAAGATACTTCAGCATATCAAGGAACTGAGAAATAGAGTAGTCTGAATTTCCTAAAATTGGGGGGGTTTTATTTTCCTATTTCAACTTTTTTTCTCCCCCAGCACCTATGAGTTTCTCCCCACAATATGCTTTCATTATCATGGGAATGTGGGGCCAGTCTCTGGTTGTTTTTCCGTTTATTTATTCCTTTGAGGGGGGCAGGACTGAATAAGGCTGCAGGCAGACAGAGAGGTTTCCTTTCCCAACCCAGTCTCCAGACTAAGGTGCCTGACCACAAAGGTGCCTGAGCTCAACGTTTGTCTCCTCCACAGGTTGCGTTTCTCCCCTGAACTTTTAATCGCTTAACATACAGAAACCCAAAACAGCAGGCTGAATTAAAGAACAAATTCAGACCCTGTCGCTTGGTTTTGGCGAGCAAGATGCACAGCATCCACTTGAGTCTTTTGGTAGTCTGCTTTTCCTGAAAAGCTTCAGAGAGATGCCATTGGCATCACCCCCAGTAAAGAAACAGGAGCTGAGGACTGAGCTGGAGAGACAACCTGTACTTCTTCTGGCGAACCCCAGCTGCAGGACTCGGGAATACTGACCCATTGGGCTGCTGGAGTATCGTAGACCATAATGCAATAACAGAGCCTCTAGCTGCTAAACCATTCTTTTACATCAGCCAAAGACAACAGTAAGGAAAGGCAATGACTATCTTATGTGACAATTACCACGGCCCAGACATGTCTCAATTCCCAGAGGGCCAGCACCGACAAACATGACTGACAGCACCAGCGAGGCATGGAAGTATGAATCTATAGGGAAAGCAAGCTGTTCCTTCACGAGGCTGGCAAAACCATCATACAGGAGCTCAAGCTATGATTGCAAGTGACAGGCAAGGAGAGAGAGAAAAATCCAATCCTATTTTCTCTGCGGCAGCAGTCCTGACACGGCATGCCAACCTCTATTCACTGTCTCATTTTCTTTTCAGGTCGCTGAACAGCTTATTAATCCATTTGGAGAAGATGATGATGATTTTGAAACTAACTGGTGCATTGACAGAAATTTACAGGTTGCTGTTGTTATTTTCAGCTTTACTGTACCATAGGCTATCATTACATTTAATCCTATTTCTTATTTTGAGGTACAAATTAAGGGCAACAAGTGTCAGCAAAACCAGTTCTTTTCCTGAAGGAGTACCTATGGCTATGATCCCCAGATGTTGTTTTTACAACATAGCGCATCTTGATTTTGGTATTTGGCATTTATGATGCCTGACTAAACATGCAAACAGATGACCTCAAACTATAAGCTCACTTGGTGCCTGGAAAAACATGTAATGTAGGTCAATCCTGTAAAATCCAAAAGCTGTCTATTCCCACATATATAGGAACATGTTTTGCTAATCTAAATGTCTAGAGATTACAATATTGTATATGTACCCTTCTTTAAAAAAAAAAAAAGGACTAAATAGGGCTATGAACTAATAATTAGGGCCTATACCATGATCCGCGTTGTGATGCTGCCAAAGGCAATGGCATCTATGGTTGGCACAGGAGCCAGTGTCCTCAGTGGCAAGAGATGTGAGATAGCCAGGGTACAGATTTATTGCAGTTACCCTCAAGTCCTGAACAGCCCTGTCATGCCATGAAGGAGCCTAAAGACATGAAAATGTCCGATGGCACCTGTTGGTCCCCTTGCAGGTAGAGAGAAGCATAGAGTTGAGCTGCTGTCAGAGCCCACATCTGCTGAGGACCACTAAGACTGCAAAACAGAGACCAGGTGTTGGCAGGAGCAAGGGCAGGGCAAGCGAACCAGCATATTAAGCAAATCAAACAATGCAGGTACACGCAGGAGTGGGAAAGGTCTTCACACTGCCAGACATGCTCTCTGGCTTAACACCACTTCAGGGTACTCACACTGCGGTGCCTCAGAGGCACTTTGTGTAAAACGTATTGGAAGGCCCTAGAACAGGATGGTTCTGAATGTCTTAAAATGTGGACAAAGCCTATCAGAAAGTTTCTGCACCTCTAGACATTATAAGGAGTACAACTAATACGCTACACAGGCTTCCCATAGCACAAGGAGAATCACATGTCCATTTAACTACATCTTGCATGAGGAAGGGACTTCAACCTGATGCAAGTATCTTTGCAGCATGGACGACTCAAGTTACAATAACATTCATGCTTTCATGAGTATAGGAGGATATAGAGGGTATATTTTATAACACTAGTCTCTTCCCAACACCCAGTCCAGCATATACAGCTTACTTTAAAGGATTTCTGAAAGAAATGTTGACCCAGGGATTACAAAGCGTATTATTTTGTATCCTGTACTATGCTGAAAGTGACATGATTTATACCAAAAAATCTAAGGTCTCACTTCTGGCGGTGGATGAGATGCACATGAACTTACCAAGGATGGAGAAAGATATTTACTGGAATGATTCCTCTGCCCGACCACCCTACACAAAAGCAGCTGCTGATTACTGTATTCCTTCGTTTCTTGGATCGACCATTGAAATGGGGTGAGTGGCACTAAGGGTCCTTAATGTTGTCAGAAACATCATCACCCCTACAGCCCACGCTGATGGACGGACAGCCAGCGCAGGGCTGCAGGCTGTGACGATGCTGTGGCTGGGGAAGATGGAAATGGGAAAAGATGTTAGGACAGAGTGGACAGGCTGGTATTGCTGGACGATGTCTCCAGTGGTCCATGCACTTGTATGAGTTGTGCACCGATAGCTTAAATTGTATAATTAATAAATAGAATATGCTTGCAGGGAGGGTTTGTTGATAGTCTCTGAGCACAGGATGGCACCCAGTGACAGTGACTGACTTTTCTTAATTCTTTATTTATGACAGCTAACTCCCCCAGTTAGCAGAACAGCTGTTCCTTTGTTTAGCTAGTAGTTGGTAGCAAAAATCAGTCTACTTTTTGTGAAGGTAAACAAGAAATGACCTTAAATGTTGTGTGGTTTTTCATTGACTAATAATCTAGGCATGGAAGGTGGAGCAATCAGATCTTGTGAAGGGATGAAGAAGAGGAGCTATTTGCAGAGATCAGCACAAGAACCATTGTAACAAGGAAACCTATAGAGGATATAGGATTGCCCTGTGCTCTCAGGATCTGTACGAGAAATCAGTGATAGGCCAGTTAGCTTAGAAGCTGTTGAGTTTAAATACTTGTGACGTGCTGTAATATAGAACAGGTCAGTAAGTGTAAATATCACCATGTCTGAACAAATACTAGGGCAAGCATACATTTTTATCTGAAAATCTTTTTAAAAACTTCATAGTAGACATGTTTTTAACTTTAAAACTTAAGAAGTTTTTGAATTTTCACCAAATTTCCAGCCTTTATCAAAATAAAATGTGTTTAATTTTTTGCTTCAGTTGGCCTGGAAATTGGTATTTTCTCATTTTTATTCCTCTTATTTTTCTACTTTTCCATGAATTCATTTTTGCATACATTTGGAGGTTAGACCTAGATGATTTTCAAGGTCCCTTCCAACCTTAACCTATGATTCTATGATTCTATTATAAAGCATAGTGTTTTGTACGAGTTCATTTTACCACATACAGCTTTTTCAGAATTTTTTCCTTCTGCAAAAACTATAAAATAGCCAAAAGAAAAGTAAAGAAAATAGTGAAAAAATAACAAGAAAACCTCATAGAATTACTGCAATTGCTAGGGGAAAGAAAGTAGCAAAGAAGAAACATTATTAAGTCTGCAAACATTTTCTTTAATATGAAGAACTTCACACAAAAAATGAAGAGGGAAGTGAATGAAAAATATCTCCATGTTAGCCTCTGTGAAATGAAAACAACTCTGATTAATTTTCTCCTCTGAACTGTTTCTCTGTTCATCTCTCAAAAAAAATAGGTAGTTCCTGTGCAGACTTTAAAAACAAGGTCTAAGAATTCATCCAGTCTAAAGCAAATATGTAAAACTTGAGCCCAAATCCAAATTCTTCTCCAGTCCCCTCAAGCCAACATCTGGAACTGGGTGCCCAGAGAGGTGGTGGAAGCCCCATCCCTGGAAATATTCAAGGTCAGGCTTGACGGGGTTCTGAGCAACCTGATCTAGTTGATGTCCCTGCTCACTGCAGGGGGGGTTTACTAGATGACCTTTAAAGGACTCTTCCAATCCAAACTATTCTATGATTCTGTGGTCATCACAAGTGCTAGATGAAGTTTCTCTGTCTCTCCAGGTTAATGTTGCCTCCTTGTGCTCCTCAATTCAGATTTGGCCTGAGTCCCTTTGCCATCTTTGCCCTTAGGACAGGTAACTGGGCCAGTTTGTCTTGTCTTCTGGGGTGCACTGAATCAGTAATGTGGACTGAATTGCCTAGTAGACACAGCAACAGTTGCTCTCATAAACTGCCAGACTGGGAAGGAGAAGACTACCAGGTACAGGTGGGACTTTCAGACACACTGTTGTGCCCCAGAAATTTGGCCACCTGAGGAATTCCAACATTTCTGAAAACTTTGCACTCTGCTTCCAGGAATAACGTTTTCACTCTTTATTTTTGCCCAAAAGATTTTCCTGAAAACATATCTGCAGCATGGAGCAGGGTTTCTTTCTCCCCTTTCCCTCACCCCAAGCACAAGCCTAACCATGTGGAGCTGCCACAGAGGGCTGCAGCCCAAATCTGAAATGGTGCCCGGTGCCTGGCTGGATGCCCTTCCAGCCTGGTCCTGAGGAGAAGAGACACTTAGGTTTGGAGAGCTTTCTGCGTGATCTGGCTCGTCCAAACGCGCAGGCACTACTCTTTGGCACCCTCACCACCCCTTTTTCACCCCTTCCATGCCCTTCCTTGGTGACACACTAGGGCCTTGGTTCCCACGTCTCCCTGCCAAGACAGGAAGATCACACACTTCCTATACTTAAGTGACACATCCTACCTGGCTTTTTTTGGCAGGCTGGCTGATACTGAATTCCTCTATGGGGAAGAGTGGCCCTGGGAAGAGGAGAAACACCAAAGACAACGTTCAGTGCTGAGAAGAGTCAAGAGGTTTCTCAGCGTCCATGAGGGCCCACCGTCCCCCGCACACCGGCGCTACAGTCGGCAGACGAGTGAGAATTCAGTGTTTTTCCCAGCAGATGAAAAGGGCCACATCAGACGGCTGCAGGAAATGCACACAAGAGGGAGACACTCTACCTCGAGCTTCAAGAAGAGGTCCTTCAATGAAGGAGTTGACAGAAGCAACAGACTTCATCGTAGCAGAGATCTGGGACCCATAACTGAAACTTCAAGGAACGAGGCACAGTTTGGAGACAGTGACACCTCATCGGAGACAAACAAGCCAGTTCCTGAGGTCATCATCTCTGAAGCTGAGGAGAAAGCACCTGATGTGCCGGGCAAACCAGATCTGCAAACAGAGCTCACTGCAAGCGTGCCAGTAGAGATGCTTCAAAGGAGACTAACTGAGGGAAATGTGACTTTTCTGGACCATCCTTTTTTCCCCCCAGAAATGACTACATACCTCCCAGACTCTGAGGTGCATCAGTCACTTCCTACTGTGATAGGGGAGCCCAAGCATGAACCCCATGGTAGTAACATAGCCGGTTTCATAACAGATCATGAGAGAAACCTCCAGCGATGGAGTTTACCGAGCTTCCATAGTCCTAGTACAGCACCAAATGCTGACACTGCATCGCCTTTAACAGATTCTGGGACGACTTCACAACAAGGGACCTTCAGTGACGAAAAAACTGTTACTCCTTCCGATGCTCCAGAGACATTTGAGATGCAGCACTTATGGGAAAACTTGGATAGTAAAGAAACAGCCATAGTAGAATTTTCTAATGAGAAAAGTGAAAAAAAACTTTGACCGTGCTTCCTCTGGGTTTGACTGAACTTCTTGTCTTCTTTTAAGAGTGGTTCGGACACAGATTGGCTGAAAATGCACAAGGGCAGACATGATGCTCCGACAAGTCCTAGCCAGATCCAAGAGAGGATTTGGGCACCTAAAAATGAGGCATTGTGATGACATGCTTTAAGCCGCTTGACTGCTGGCTTGAAATCTGTGACCCTGTGGGGAAAACATTTATGTGGAGAACCGGGAGCCTCAAGAGTGGGTGCAAATCAGCTATCACACATGGCAGTGAGCTGTGTATGCCCACCTAGAGGAAACACTAAGGCTATCACAAGAGCAGAGATGGCCCTGTCCATTTTGGATCCACCTGAACACTGTTACCTGTGGCTGCTCCTTCAGATTAAGGTCCATTACATCCTTCTAAGAACCACCAACAGTTCTGGTTTTTACTCACGTTTCTATAAGAGGAGGTGCGGGCTCAGTTCCCTCCTCAGCCTGGGGAGATTCAACCCACCATCTCTCACTACTTGGAGGAATGTTTGAAAAATCAGGCTCCTCATTTGCGTGGGGCACGAGCCTGCCCTGGTCCTGATGAAGCTATGCCACTACCAAGTGGAAAAATAAAAGGATTAAATGCTTAACTTCATTAAGAAAAACTGAACTGGCAAAACTGCTGATGAGCTGGGCATAGGGGGTCTGAGCCTTAGAGCATGTATGTGGCTTACTCAGTGGCTGTTTATTGTAAAACACTGTTCCCAAGTGGCCACCGTAGTGATGACAGGGCTGTGGCACTCTCTCAAGAGGTGATGGAGCTTCAGGGTCAACAAAGGTTAGGGCTCCACTTGTACTAAGATCTTCAGCTGGAAGCACATAGGCTGCAGTCAACACAGGGAGACAACCAAATGGCCCAGGACCACTAGCAAAAATTGTTCTCCACTTCCTTCTCTCCTTTTCCATTCCCATGCCACCTAGATGTACCACACACGTTCTACATTAACCCAAATCCAAGCCAGCATTAGGTGGCTCCTGCTGCTCCAGGGGTGGCCAAGCTACCGTCTAAACCTCCTGGTAGCAACCTGGCCTTTCAGCTGCCACTCCTGCAAGAAGTTTCAAGGCAGACCATGAAAGCAGAGGCAGTATTTTGTTTTTAACTTTCCCCCACATGTACACAAACACAGTCCAGAACATGACACCAGCATTCCCCCACAAGTGAGTATCCAAGAAGACAGTCGTACTGGACAAGGGAAAGACCGAGTAGCTCAGAGGCTGGGAAGAACAGAGAGAGAGGGAGATGCAGAAAATTCTGGGGGCCATGGCAAGCAAGCAGTGTGGACTGCATGGACAGCAAGTCCACTCAGCACTCCTGCTCAGAAGATTGCACTTCAGACAACAAACTAATGTCTCTGCTGGGTAGCATTAATGGATCCTGGGAGTCTTTAGGACGTCCTGAAGCTGGGAACGGAGTGAACAGACCTGCCTGCTCCTATTCCTCTGGCAACAGCCTGGGTGAGGAGCCCTTCCAGTAGGCTATCACATACAGCAGGACTCTGCTCTCTCATATTGGTAGGCTTTGAAAAAAAAAAAAAATTAACTGCCCTCCTCAGTTCTACTTCTTTCAGATTTGTTTCAGTCTGGGAACCAGCTCCTGTTCATGTTCATGAGGCATGGTCTGAGCAGTGCCACCCTTTCAAATCCTTGAAAAACACTAGACAAAAACACGCGTATCTCCATCAGTTCAGGAAGCAAAAGACTCTTAACCCAAGGAAGAGCTGATTAAACTCATATTATGGGAATTTCAGGTATGCAGCAAAGCCAAACACTTCCCGGGAGCCTACGGAGGCCCTTCACACCACGAGATGATGTGATGCCGCTGTCAGGCAGCAGCTGAGTAGTGAAGTTTGAGTGCAGTTTTGGAGTAAGGTGTTCTGGTATAATTTCACCCTTGCCACTCTGTAACAAGTCCTCCCGCAAATCAGGTTGCTATGTTCAGGTTTGGCCAACACAATGAGAACTTCAATGAAGAGAAATTATATTGAAATAAAGAGCACCTTACTTAGCAGTCCTATTTTCTGATGGCCCTTACTAGGCCATGCCCAGCCTCTGGCAGCATCCTCTAGCTTTTCAGTCATCAGAGGCCCATACTGCTGACTTTCCTGGGGAAGAGGACTCCGTCAGCCTGTGACAGTGGTGAAAACATTGAGATTTCCCTTCTCCACATCAGCAGATAAAAAATATTTTCCTCCAGCGTTCCCTTTTTTTCCCCTATTCCCTATTTCTTCTTTTAGCTGAAGCCACACTTTCCAATTCAATATTTTCACAAGTCAACTGCATCTACAGCTGTCAAGGAACTCCATTTACCAATGAGCTTAACTTTAACAAATGGTAAATGTTGAGTATAAAGGATACATTTGAAGGATACCCAGACAGCTCCAGTCACACGGCAAGACATAAAGTAACTGCTACTTTCCTTGAGAGCCTGAAACACTCCTCTACAGCACTTTGTCAAAGTCAGGAGAGCAATACAGGCTTCAGGGAAGTCTGGCCATTCACCTCCCAGCTGTGCATGTATAAGATGGGTTTGCAGAGGCTCTGGAGAAAGTCTGGCCTTTTATGTGGCTCTCTCCTCACAGTACCTAAGCTTGAAGAACTCTTTGTAAGGGAGTTCAAGCTGGAAATTAGAGACAACTGTAAAGTGCCTACTACAAATCTGCTCTGAGGGTCCAGTCTCACCACATCTCCTTCCTCCCCTTCACGCAGCTTCCACCAAGGCTTAAGGTATTGAAGCAAAGTGTTCATCCTCCCCAACCCAGACAATTGGCATGTTTCATCCCCGCACTGCCAAGGCTGAAGAAGCCTTCCCAGCTTCTCATTGTCCATCACCTTCTCAGCCTGGCCGCTACCTAGGACACAAACTGCTGCTTTCCACCAGGACCCCATCCATCTTATGAGCAACAGTTGTTCTACCTCTCCCACTCACTCTGCCAGCACTCACTGGCCCAGCAACTGTGTTAATTCTTCAGTGGAGGCTAAGGATGGCCACACAGCAGCCATTAGGTAGATAAAAGCGTAAGCTACATCCCATGGAGGTGTCTATTACATGTGTAGATGCATGTTAAATTAGGAAAGACAGCTCTGAAGTCCCACCGTGTAATCTGCAATACACAAATATCATTTCACACATAGCAGGCAAGCTCCAGGTTAGCTATAATATTCTGTTGGTTGCTTGTAAAGAAGTCAGTGCTGGGATGAGTTACCAGAGAAATTTCCTCTCCTCATTTAGTGTTATCTCACTTTTGCAAACATCTGTGGGCTCTGATTCATATTAAATTAACTTTTGGGATTATGTTCTCTCTTAGGCACTTCTCTTGGTAAACTATTTGCCTTAGCATGGTAAATGGACTATTTTAGCAAGCCCAACAATTTATAACTCATGTTCACCAGTATAAACAATGTTGAATTATTGCATGAATAAAGGTGCTTTGAGAAATATAGACTGTATTGAACTGTCAAGAAGCACTTCTGGCAAAGGTTTGACCTACCATGCAAGTCAAACTGATGTCTACCAGGAGCAGTGAGGCAGACCTACAGAAGTTGGCAAAGCCAGAGAAGACTGAGGAGATAATGGGGCCGGGATAGACAAATAAGTCAGAGCAGCAGCTTGCTCCCATCAAATGGTGTTAACCTTGAGCAGAGTGAGATACAACTGAACGAAGAGAGGTCACACACTGACTGACTTTCCACCTATTTCTAGAATGCGTTCATGCTCTGCGCTTAAATTCATAGAACCGGGATGTCGGTACAGGGACTGACCAGCTGCAAGGACATGTCCCATCACCCTTAAAATCCTCCATCATAAACAACGGAGATCTAACTCTGACTGCAAGCTCATGTATGAGGAATATATATGTATGTTAGAAATAATGGAAATGTACCAGTGTAAAGCCTGACACATAGTAGAGGAAACAAAAATACCCTGCTGCTGTTAAATGAGTGATGAGGCTTTACAGATGCTTTTTTAACTTGGTTTACAACCAAGCAAATGACATTTGCTGGAAAAAGAAGTTTGCTTGTGATCACTCGGTTCTTTAAGAGTGATAGGGACAAAGGGGAAACAAGGCAAGACATCTCTGAAGTACACGACAACTTGCACAGCTCAGTCTTGTCTGCAAAAAGGGACAACTGTCTGCAGAGTTCTTATAGTGGGAGGTTGATAGCCTGGATGCCAGAAGTGTAACAATGTGTGGCTGCTAACAGTGAGGGGTAAAAACATGCAGAGCTGGGAGGGAGTGTTTCGTACTGGAAGGCAAGATCACTACTCCAGAGACACCCACACCAAACCAGCTCACTTTAGTAGTACCTATTGAGTCTTACAACTGAACCCTTAGAAAGTGATGGGCTGTGATCATAACGCTGCCAAGGCCAGTAACAGGTGTTGTGTTTGGTCTGTGCTGAGCACGTCCAGACAAGCGGCAGCACCAATTCCCTGCAAGCCATCAGCCCCTGCCCCACTCATGCCACTGCAGGGTCAGTCCTCAGCTCCCCATGGCCCTGCCCTGCTTGCAAACTACCCGGGGCTGGGGCTGCAGATATTTTTCAGCTTTATGGAGATACAAGCAGCCCCAACACATCCCATATGCCCCCTCAAGGCCACAAAGCAATCTGGATTTTCAGTTGCTGTTGCACCGTTGCCTGCCCCTCTTCTCCAGCCTTGCCGCACAGAAGCTGCTGTTGGAAAGCATAAAATGAAACAGAAATGGCGCTGAGTTCAAAGCAGGTTTTGCTTGGTTAAATTTTATTCACACATGTGGGAGCAGTGTCAGTTTTAGCAGTCCATACAGATACTCTAGTGGGTATAATTTAGGTGAATGTTTCGTTAGATCAGCAAAGCTCCCTGTGGCTATTTCACACCTCGGCCAGCGCTGAAGTTGCTGCTGCTGACAAAAAGTGGCTGATCAAAGGGGAGTAGATGTTTAGTGCTGGCGTGTAGGTCTTGTAACTCATCTGAGGTGGAAGGA